TGTTTAGTTTATCAATCCGATTTTTGACAATCGGATTAGTAAGGAATATATTTACACAACTAGAGCCCAGATATTACAAGGAAAAGAATATGAATTCCACTAAATATTACATAGATCTAAACAATTATTATTTAGGAAATTACAAGGACTTTAAAAAGTTAAAACCGAGTTTTAAATATTAAATTCTTTCACAAATTTAAAAATAATATATCCCGTTTATATTTAATTTACCAACTTTTCTGTTTGCCAGTTTGTTTGTTTGTTGCTGAGCGAGTGAGCGAAATGAAATGCAAATGCGCCCACAATATTCCAAAGTTGCTGCCATAAACTGAAGGGTCGTCCTAGGTCTGGGCTTTTAAATGCAGCTTACTCGTTCTATATATTTTTTGCACCCCCCTTGTTTTTCTAGAGGCCTCTGGCAACCTGTATGTAGGTGCACCTGTTATATGAACTTCATTTGTTGTTAGTTGGTGACTTTGGCTTAGGAAAGAAAACATTCGCCGTCGCTTGATGATGACGTTGATGTTGCTGCTGCTTTGGCCGTTGTTCTTGTTTCTGTTGACAAAGCATAAAGTGCAGTCCGGGTTATAGGAAGGACCGACCAGGTGCTCTGTACATACACACAAACACTCGTAAAAAAGCATAGGGAGTGGGTTTTTATTATGTCACACAAGTGTGCTTCCTATGACACACAACTTCCTGGCTGACTCGAGCACAAAAACATAGAAAAAGAATGTAGTAAAAGCAAGGCTGAAACAAGGACCAAACTGGGAGAAAAATGTAGTCTAGAAACAGAAGATTAAAATTTCTAAAATGTTTTAAGTTGCATGTTTATTATGTATTTGAAATATTTTAAAGAAATAAAACTTGTAGAACTAAAGAAATATAAATTTAAATCTATTTTAAACCTTTATTATTTATTTTCTATAATTTCTTACTTAATTTTTCTCAGTGCCTTGCCTCTTCCGAGTCACTGCCAAGAAATAAAGGAGTCTATTATGAGTGCCACGCCTACTGGGCGCACGCAAAGTTTTGACTCTCGTCTCGCCTTTGGGAACTACACACAGAGAGAGAGAGAGGCTGATATGAATTTTTCGGGCTGATTTGCAGGGGAAAGTTCGCGGGAAACTTTAAATTTTCTTTGCCAAGCGAGTTGAGTTATCAATTGCCAGCACGCGAGCTGAGGCGGGATGATGGCTGGCAGGCTCAAGCCGTTCCGCATGGCGTATACTTAATGCCCGGGACTCGAGTGACTACAAGAAGCTTTTCCACACTCACTTAAACCAGCTCCTTGCGGGGATCTCCTCCACCCTCCTCCACCCCCTCCTCCAATCAGCGACCACATGAAATTCGAAACATTTTCAACTGCTACTTACATAATTGCGAACCACAGCCGCGGAATCCTTTCGTCCTTCTTGTGCTTCGACCTAAACTGTTGCCAAATTCCCGCCGAACTTCATCAAAATTCCAATTAGCGCTTACACTCAATTACAAGAGAGAGGGAGAGAGAGAAGAGAAAGGCGGCTGCCACGCCCCTGAACTTTGCTGGAGCAGCCAAAAGCAAATACGAAATACAAATACAAAAGGAAAGTTATAGTCGGGGTATTCGACCAAAAGGTACCGGGTATTCTAGAGTCTTTTAAGGAAAATGTTGAATAATGTTTAATAATTAATATATATTTTATATAATAAATATATATTATATTTAAATTTGGTTAAAAAAGTTAAGTATCTCAAAGGATATACCTATTCTAGACTCAAGAGTCTTGGGTACAAATACAAATACACAACAGAGAAAACCACAATGCCAGCAATGCGAGTACATTAAAAACTTTTCCCAGAAAATTGCCAAAGATTTTCAGTGAGTGGAAGGAGTTTTTCTGCAAATAGCAAAATAGGAAATAGAAAGTTTCTGTATATTGTTGGAAATGCCAAAAGGGAAAGCCTCTTTTAAAGTCAAGTCAAATATATATAGTCGCAGCCAGCAAATGTCATTAAGCTCGGCGGGAGAGCATAGCAAATATTGACAGGCAGCGGGAAAAACGGATGTGGAAAAAGGGTTCCACTTCTCTGAAGGCAAAGCCAAGACAGCCGCAGGATATTGAAATTCATGTGTAATTATAAACACAAACCCACGCACACTCAAGGCCTGTGGGCCGCCCTTCTTCTTATCCTTTTGTAATTGTTGCCTCTGCCGCACAATGTGAAACAATTCTAGCAGCAAATGTGACTTACACACAATATATACGGGTCTCTATATGTGTATATATTCTCGCATATATGGATTCATCTGCCAATGGGGAAATTAAGCGAAGCAATGGGGAGCCCGTCTCTGGGCCCCACAGAAACCTCTTCATGTGATTTCATCAACGTAATACGATAAATTTCATAATGAAACGATGCGTAATTGCCCCAGGCCCATGACTTGGTTATGCATTTGAGTTGAGTTCTTGGCACTTTACCAGGCAGTTGAGTCCCATCAGATTCTGGCCACTTTAAGGAAGTTTAATTGGGTTTCAGCGAGTAGGCAGAAGGTATTAAATTGAAAGAAAACATTGGGAAATCATAGCTTTTAAGCTAGGGAAGTTACAAGTGCACAAACTGGCAGTTTCAATTAGGAATTTACTCTTCAAAGTCTATAAATAAAATGTTTTAAATATTTTAAAAGCTTTCGCAGCTTATTAATTTAAATTAATTAATTGAAATGCTTGGAAAATCTTTTTTAAAATGTAGAAAATAATTTTTTTTAATATTTTAAAAGCTTTTCAGTCTTGCCTTCAATTGTTATTTCTATAACATTTAATATTATTAATTGTTTAATTCCCATCAACATAAACTCTCCAAACACACATATGTAACTATGATTTGTAATCTATAAATTTCCATAGGCATTTTTTCATACACATTAATTAACACACATTTCATTTTAATGCTTTAACCTTTCATTTAAAATCAATTCCATTTCACTTCCCCTACATTTTTTGGCCAAATTTTCAGCATTTTTCCAATTCCTTGCACAAAATTTATGTGCACAGCAAAAAGATCGATATGAAACGATGAAAATTGTATGGAAAACACCTTAAGCACATTGAATACTGAATTTATTTATAATATTTTTTAAAACTTTCCAGGTGAAAAAATGTCCAGCGGCTTTTGTGTGCGAAAAACCCAAAAACCAGGACACACAAACCCACCATGTTTTGTTTTTATTAAGCTTTGCCCGTGTGTGTGTTGCATTTTTTATGCGTACGCGTGAAATTTGTTTTCCTTTCATTTACAATGAAAATATTTTGCTTTCCTCCCTCTTTTTTTTGAAGTTGCTGTAATTGTTTTATATGCTCGTTCATTGCCGCGGGGGGAAAGGGTGACAAATTCAAATGCAATAAATTTTTATTAATTTCTTTGAGCTCCATGTGTGTTTGTGTGCTTTGTTTGCTTTCTGATTTTGAGCAATTTGTTAAAGCAAATATTGAAATAAATTCCATATCCATGGCAGCGCTCTGTGCTGCTGTGTCCTGTCCTGTTTTCCTGTCCTCCCAACGTTTATTTGCTCTTGCGATTATGCAGCCTTTGATTTGATTTATTTATATGCACGAATAGCTCTGATTTATGGAGATTTCTGTCGCCCCTCCCGATCAGGAAAATAATGCTGTTGAATCATAATCTCCCCTGACATTTTCAATTATCTTAAAGTTTTCTTTGGTTTCCCAAGAGGAAATAAGTATACACGGGAAAAAACGAAGTTAACACCTCCATAAATCCTCAAAATATAATCTATCCTATCCCCTTTTGTTTTCAGTGTTTCTCAGCTTGGAAATATATCTCATATTAACCGGGAACCGCTTCGGTTTGGGATTCTCACGCGCTGTGAGCCGAGTTGAGCTGAAAAAGCTTTACAAAAACACTCACAACTTTGCCATACAGTAATTTCCTGTCAAACTTTCTGCATTGTAATTGAGTGTAAAAGCAAAACTTTGCCTACTGCTCGAAAAGAAGAGGAAAACCATCCTGTCTTGGCTCTTGTATCTTAACTATGTTGCCAAAGCCAAAAGCCGCAATTGAGGAAGCTACTCAAAAAATAAAAAAAAGAACAGGAAAACATAAACAAAAATAAGGAAAAACTTCCATAAACTGTAGCCACAACGCGGCTGAAGAGGGAGGAGCAAGACACATATGCTGCGGCTTGAATTTATGAAGCTTTTGTTTTCTTGTTTACTTGCAGCCAAAAAATAAAAATAAAACCAAATTATGGTCGGAGTTTTAACTTGTTTATTACGCGAAGGGTTGGTTTTTCCCCACTTGAAACAAGTTTTTTAATTTAATTTTCATGAAAATTCATGAATATTTCTTCTCGCACGTATCAGAAATCTTTTATTAGTCTCCAAAGTTTTCTTTTGGCAACTGAAGTCTCAAGACTTGAGCTCTTCAGTCAACACATCTGCGTGGAGTCTGTGCAAAATTTGCAATTAAAATGCAGGAGAAGAAAAGGAGAAGTGGAAACTTCAAGTTCAGTGAAGAAAATTAAGGATGGTGGGTGGGAGTTTTCCTTGGTTTATGAATATGTAAGCTTATCGAGTAATTAATGGCTGGAAATTAGCAGGAAAGTGTTTAATAATTTATAAGAAAATTCTTAGAGGTATTTATCGGAACTTTTTGATATCTATGGAATTAATTGTATTTATAAAAGGAATTTACCTTTAAAGACCAGTCTTTAACTCATCTGAAATCCTCTTTTGCACCCAAAACTAAAGCCAAACTGTACCCAGTCGAAACCATTATCCTTTTGCCAGACAATGGCTCCTGGCAGGCCGAATAAACATTAACATTGCTCATACGCCCCATTGTTCCGTCCGCAAATTAAACGCCTCGCCTTAATCGGCTGCGGCTGTGCCGCCTGTCTGCCTCGCAGCTCGAAGAGCCGTATAAATATTAATAACCTTTCAAATGCCAGCCCAAGCCCACCGACTTTACCCCAGGAGAGCTTATCAAACACATCAAAGATGGCGATGGGATTTGGCGCGGGTTGGTTACAGGGAAGTGATACGTCATACAATTGCTACAAATTGCATTCGCTTGGCTTTGCTTTTGTCCGCGGAACGGGGGGTTCAGGACGGGTGAAGAGCCATCCTGTGCCAAAACATCAGCCTAAACAACATTACAACATGCATCATCAACATAATCAGCAACAAGCGCGACTACAACAGCGAAACACACACAACAGTGACACACGACACACAACACGACGATGATGATGATGAGGAGGTGGCTGATGATGAGGCAGGGGTTGTGTGTTGTTTGCCGTGGGGGTGGCAAAATGAAGCTAAGCATCGCTACATGTCGTGTCATTCAACCGATATCGCTTGATCTGCGGCAACGCTGGAAAATCCAAAGTTCGTGAATAAATTTAGTCATGTGCGTGCCGAGCTCGACTTCATCAGCAGCCTTAGTTCTTTAAGCTTATTCTAGTTAGGCACTGGCAAAAATATATAAACCTTTGCTTAAACTAAACACAAATTACATTATAATTCCCAACTGTTTATAGCCAAGAATATGGTAAAAAAATATTGAATACAGTTCAGAAGGTACTTGAGAGTGCAGAATGTAATGTAGTAGCAATAATCTCCCAGAGTTCCATTATAATTCCCAACAGTTTCTAGCAAAGAAATTTGTAAAAATATTGAATACAGTTCAAAAGGTACTTGAACCATTTCTTGGCGAGTTATTAACGACTTTTTGTTTACAACAAAAATTTTTTTTCAATGCACAATTCCCAGTGCTCGCTCCACTTGAGTGTTTTCTTTGTGTGTGTTTATCTGCGTATTAAATTGCAAGCTCGTGCCTTTCCCTGTATTTGTTCTTCGCATCTATTTTTGTTGTTCTTGGCTTTCTCCATCGCTCTATCGCTATCTCCATCTTTCTATCCGCCTCCTCCATTGCTCCACGTGGTTCTGGTTCCTCCTCCTCTCGCCGCCATTGTCATTTTTCTGCCGTTATTTTTATCTGCACGTGAGTCTTCCTGCGAGTCCATTTCAGTTTACTTTAGTCCCTGTTTTCCCATTCTTTTCGCCTGTTCCTTAAATTGTCTGCTATAAGTTTTATTATCCCAGCATGTTCTGTGTACTATATGGTCTGTCTGCTGTGAGAGAATGCTCGGAATGGGCGGTAGATGGCACACAAATAAGCTTAGAAATAGTCTATCTATGCCAAGGCGATTGATGGCCAGGAATAAAGTTGATATATAAGCGGATATCAAGTTGAGAGTAGCAGCCACGTGCGGGCGAATTAGCAGCATCCATCTTTATAAATCATTCCTATCGATGTCAATTAATCGGGAAATAAATTCACAAGATTCTCAGGTTTCTACGAACTATAAATATTAATAACCAGATTTATTATACCTATTTATAAAGCAATTTGCAGCTTAGAAATAATATATATAAAATGTATAAAGTTTAAACTTTACTATAAATCATTTAAATATTTAAAGTATACCTCTACTCTTATTTAAACTATTTAAAAGTGTCAATAAAGCTCAACACATTTGCATTTAAATAAACATGTGTCCGACAGCTTGTAATATTTAGTGCTTTATTATTCCCCCATCGATCTTATGTTTTTATTTAAACCAAAATATTTCCCAAAAACACTAAGGCTCTTATTGAATTCTTGGAAACCATTTACCGGATAGAAATCCACTTCCATTTTGGCAAGGAGACAACTCAATCCAAACGCCACAGCCTGGCAACATCTTCACCCCGATGTTTTGATGCTTGAGTTCATGTGTCAGGGCTCAGGAATGGGGCCAACAGCAGGATGTGGCCAGGACAACACACACACACACTCGCCGAGAGTCTCCAAATGCCACGAACAGAGAGAGAGAGAGTCCTCTGTGTGTGTGTCGCCTGTGAGTGACTTGATTGTCTTCTGCCATTCGGACTTGAGGCCTACAAATTTGTTGCTCCTCCAGGGGGAGGGAGTCGTCAAGTGAGTCGAGTTGAGTTGAGTCGAGTCAGTCGCTCGTTCATGCCATGCATGACAATTTTCCGGGGGTTTTCAGCACACACACAGACACTCGCTCTCCCCCACTCACACGTAAATTTCATGCAATTTGTTATGTTTTATGTGAGGGGCTGTGATGTTACGCCTGGGAATCTCAAAATGACAGACTTCAATTTATACAATTTATTTTATTAAGTCAAACGTTTGTCCCTGTCTCTCTCTCTCTCTTTGCTACTCTTTCTCGCTTACTCCTTCGCTTTTTCAAGCCGAACGTATGGGGGTTTTATTAACAAATTGATGAAACAATTTCCGCAGCGTTTAATATACGAAGCCAATTTTTATCTCCCTTTTTTTCTGTGTGCTATATCCATCAACTTTTTGGATTTCCGTTCTGGAAAATATACACAGGGATTTATAAAAAATAAAGAGGGGAAAATATGGTGGCCAGGATTTTTGATTTATATTATTTCATAGGGAAACATTGCTTTTATTTAATAGTTGCTTAATTTCACTAACAATTAACTCAAACAGGAATTATAATGCTTTTATAACTACTTAACCGAGTAATAAAATATACATTAAATTAATTCCAACTAAAACCCATTTAAAGAAGATCCCAACTTGTTACGACGTCCTTCAGGGATAATTGCAGGACAGAAAATAGACATTACATTTCTACGTCCCTTTATGGACACGCGTTAAATTTTCATTTTTAGTGCTCACATAAAAATCTACGAAATTGGTAAATTTCAATTGGTCCTCCTCGGACTGGACGAAGGACCTAGTGGCAGGACCAGGACCAGCCATCATGATGGGCCACCTAAGCGGCCATATAAATCTCAATTTATGTTGGCTATTTAGAAATTTTGGGCACGCAGCAGCCATTTCGACTTAGGGCTCTCCGGATAGCCTTCTGTATGGCATTCCTCTATGCCTAAGGCCTCAAAATTATTGAATCTAATTAACTTAAATGAAATGAATGAGGAGTGCGGAGTGAGAGCCTGCTCCAGCCAGGACTCGTTTAATTTATGGATGTGTATATAAATTCATTTGAAGCTCTTTAATTGCTGCCAAATGGGAAAACGTTTTCATGCCTGACCGACCAAGTTCTCTCTGGATTTTGTGTATGTGTAAGCCATTTTTTGGGTTGAAGGTCAACAGATTGATTGGGGGGATTACGAGGAGGATACGGGCCCGTGGCAAGATGCGGTTCTTGCTCCCTGCTTATTGAAAATTGTTCGTTACTTTCTCGAAAGGGAAGGGGAGAATTTTTGGGGTTTTGGTTGCCCCAAAAGTTGCCTGAAATTGATGGGATAACAAAATTGTACTGATACCTTGTAATTAATCATTGTAAATGGGTCTGGCAGGCGACTGGGTTGGAGGGACGGAATGTTTTTAATATTTATAATGCGATTTAGGGCAGATTAGGGAATTGTGTACAGACGACTTCCCTTCGACTCCACAAAGGAAGGATTCGCACCCTTTCCCTAAAGATCTTTCGATGGATAGCTTGGCAAAGCGGCTTAGAACTTGTTACTGAGGGTGTTAAATATTTCAAGAGGAAAGTTGGAGAAGATTGCTAATGAAAATCAATGGGAAAACAATATTCGCAGATAAGAAATGAAAGAAAAAACCTTGCACTAAGCTTTTTTTGTTAATATTTCCCATTAATTTGATTTTCACATAAAAAGAAACAAATATTAATTGTATTAAAGGTCTGTGGTTTGTAGCTTTGTTCATAATAAACCGCAAAGCATTATTTTTAATTGAATTTCCACAAAAGAACAATTAATGAATTCAAAGCTGAAACTGTGAATTTTAATTAAATTATTTCAACTGCATTGCCTGTTATTTAATTTAAGTAATTCCTGCTCCCCGTTTAATCCTTGCTTTAAACATCAACATCAGAGAGTTTCTTTCTTCTACCTGGAATTTCCTCTTTTTTTCGACTCACTTCCTGCATTAGCAACCAATTCTGATGAACTTGTCAAGAGGAAAACTTCGAGTTCCGCCTTCCTCGCCCCTCACCGGCATTGAAAGGTGGAACCTTGCCACTCTCTTGACTCTTTCCCAGAAGAGATTGACGTTCGGGTTGCTGGCTCTGGCTCTGCTTTTGACATATTCGATACAATGAATAAATTCGTAAAATTCGCCTCAGGTACACTTTTATTTCTTTGCTCTTGCTGATGAGAGTTTTCCGCTTCCTTTGCCTTATTTAAATCATTGGTGAAAACTGCAAATGAACCCTTCATTTTGCCAGGAAGCAGCAGCAGCAGAACCCTAGACCAAGGCTATTTGACTAATGAAGGAAAAGCTTCAAGTCTCTGTCTGAGATTCCACAAAAAAGTGCTTGAGAAAAGCACACAAAAATCATGAAATGTCAAAAAAACAACACAGGAAAAATCTGCAAGAATCAGCATAAAAAGTGTAAAAGGTCGCCGCACAAATATGGCCCTCGGGTCGGGCCAAATAAAATCTATATAGAAACAGAAAAAAAGAGAGAGAGCGGGCGAAACTTTTACGCATCGCAGCACAAAGTGACCCTGGCAAGGAAGTCTTTGAGCAAAGGACACCCAAAAGAGAAACGGAAGTGGGGAGGAGTGAAGGATGCGGGGATCTGAAGCGCAAAGTAAGCCGATACACAGGACTTTAGCCTGTGGAAATATTTTGCCAAACCGAAAACTGCACGAAAACTGAAATGCGAATGAGAAAACTTTTTAATGGATTTTCATGTTGATAAAATTATCACAGAACAGAGAAAAAGGCGAACAGAGAACAAATTTGAGAAGCGATTAAATAATTTGAATACTCTTTAAAATGTATATTACCAAAATGTAGATTTTAAGGAATATGATGGGCTTGTTCTTGATACCTTTGAGCCTGTCATGTGTTTGTCTGCCTTATAGCAATGAAATGTAAGTCATGTGCTTGGCTTGTTTCTTATTTTATTTTAGAATATTTTTAAAATCCAAATATGTCTTGTTTCCAGCTTTATCTTTTCTACCACATCAACCTTACCCTTC